TTAACTGGAGCAACAGCCACCATCATTGCAAGTAGCTGCAGTGGCATGGATGAAAAAAGAAACTCATTGCAGCCTTAAGCTTGCAATGAGGACAATGTCGTCCTAGGTATGCCAAGAAAAAAGCAAAACAACGCATTTCTTCAAAAGGGGTATTTATCCTGCGGGGGAGGGCCAGGTTGATTTTGCAACACAAGTAGCTGAATATGCGTGCATTGTCAAGAGCCAAAGTGGCTGTAATCACCAGCGCCATTTAGGTTTGCAGTCATTGTCGGCAACGTTTGCTTTTAAAGAAAAACATTTTGTTGGCATCATCATTAAATCTTTGTCTCTCTATCTCTCTCCATTTGCTCCAAGTAATGCTGCACAATAGAGCAGCGAAAGACACGGTAGAGAACTATTCGCCATATGAATGCATAAACTATGTATGGGAGTATGCATATGTGTATGTATGTGTGTATGCACGTGGTGGAAGGTGGAGAACATTTGTGAAAACGACATTAAATTATGTATGAGCAAGAGGGTTGTAGAGGTGCGTGTGTTTGGGTAAAAGGGTGTAATGCAAATTAAATGAAATTGTTTAAAAACAAAACTCCTGAAAGTATACTTTACTTTTTTCGAATAATTGTTAAAAAATTAGATATATCAGATATCAATGGTTGTTAAAGATTTATAATATCCGAGGAGTCTAAAAATTATATTTATTGGAATTTAATTTCATCGAAGGTCTATTTAAATAAGATCTTTCAAGGATGGTGGAAACAATTGTCGTGGATATCACCAAATCTATAAATGGATACAAAAGAGTAGTGAAATAACTGACTGACTGACCGACAGAGAATGCCCGCACGAAATGGCTAAAGCTTTGAATTTTAAATGGAAATTGAAATTTTGCACGAGGGCCAATATTGTTGCGTAGGTTTGCAATAATACTGGGTTTTTGGGAATTCGTACTAAAAGAGTTCGATAAGTACTAAAATGTACTAAAAATTGAATACTTTGTGTTAGACCAGCGGGATAAGCTAGTATTCTGAAATGGATATAAGAGTCACTGATGTAGTGCAGGATAGATGTACCAAAGGGTTCCTGGAAATTCGAACTTTATAGTTACGAAAAGTTCCAAAATGGTACCAATCTTTTTAAATGTTACCATTTGGTGTTATGCGAACGGATAGAACTAAAAGAGCTTTGGTATGAGAATCAATGTTGGAAAGTAAGTTTGATATATGAAGGTGTTTTTAGAAATTTGTGCTAAGTGTGCGAACTGTACTAAATGGTACTATATTTGGAACAGTTTGGTTTAGGATGAACAGATGGGGTAGGAACTTAGAGGTTTTGTTATTGGGATCCCTTGTGGTGGTAGGTCTGTGATAAAGAGGTGGTTTTTGGAAATGTGTATTACAAGTGCACGAAAAATACAGAATAGTACTATATATGGTACTATAATTGTCCGAAAAGTAATCAGCGGTACTAAAATAGGTATTGGTTGAAGTGATGAGCTGGAAACCTGAAATTTGATATTGAGAATATGTTGGTAGTTTTGCAAATGCGTACTATAATTGTACTAAATTTGGTACAATTTTGGTATTTGGGTGAACATATAGTACTTGAAATCTGAAATTTGGTAAAAGGGTCGCTGCTCATGTGTAGCTTTGACATATGGAGTTGATTTCAGAAATATGTACCATAATAAGTACGAAAAGTACTGAATGCTACACATTTTGGTACTGGGTGAAGGGATAGAGATAAAAATTTGAAATTTGATATTTAGATTTCTGATGGTATCTGTGTTTGGAAATGCGTCTTATATTTGTACGAAAATTACAAAATGGTACTAAATTTGTTATTGGGTGAAGGGATAAGGCTTGAATGATGAAATTTGATATAAAGGGGTCTCTTTGTATCCAGGATTGAGGTGTTTTTGGAACTATGTACTATAATTGTAGGGGAAGTACTAAATGGTATTTAATTTGGTTTTGGGTGAAGGAATAGAACTGATATTCTAAAACTTGATATTTAGATTGATGATAGTATCTTGGCTTGAGGTTTTGCGGTGGATTGGAAATGCGTTCTATATTTGTACGAAAAGTACTTGGGTGAAAGAAAAGGGCTGGAAACCTTAAATTTGATTTCTGTTGGTATATCGGATTGAGATATGAAGGTGTTTTTAGAAATGTGTACTATAATTGTACAAAAAGTACTACATATTACTATTACTACATTTCGTACTGGGTGAAGGAATAAGCTGAGTCCTGGAATTTAATACGGATGTCAATGTTGGTGTCTGTGGTTAAGGTATGGATGTGATTTGGAAAATGTGTACCATAATTGTTCAAAAAGTACTAAGTGGTACTAAATTAGGTGTTGAGTTAAGGAATGGAGCTGTTATTCCGAAATTTGATTTTGAAGTCTCTATTTGGCTATGAAATTAAGATATGGAGGTAGTTTTCAAAATACGTTTTATAATTGTACGAAAAGTACTCGATCTCGGGATCATGTACTATAATTGTACGAAAATTACAAAATGCTACTAAATTTGTTAATGTGTGAAGGGATGGGACTGGAATCCCAAAATTTGATATTAAGGTCTATCTTGGTATCTACGATTGAGATATGGAGGTGTTTTTGGAAATGTGTACTATAATTGTACGGAAAGTACTAAATTGTACTAAATTCGGTATTGAATGGTGAAATTTGGTATAGATATCACGTTTGGTTTCTATGAGTGATTACTAAATGTTGCTAAATTTGCCCTTGAGGTAATGTATAGAGCTGGAATGCCGAAATTCGATATTAAGATCAAATTTCTAGGGTTTACAAATTGAGACGTTGAAATAGTTTTGGACAGAAAAATTGGATGTGGGTCCACTGTGAAGAGGTTTTCCTTATATCCTCCTCGGTATGCCTAAAAATAAAAGATTTTGAGGACTTTTTGGTGTAAAAGGTAAACATTTTCCTATTATTCTTTCCGAAAAAGTAAAGACTTGAATAAAATATAAATATTTAAATATATTAAAAATCTGAAAATTTTGTTCGATGTAAGCAAATAAGGCATTTTGAGTACCAAAATAGGCCTGTCACGAACTGTTGGTAATGAAATTAAAATTCTAAGGTGGACTTTTGGCTGACGAAGTAGTGGACACTTGCTAGTGTTAAAATAAATTCATTCTGCCTGCTTCCATTTGGAATGGTTTTGTAGGGCTTTTCTGACAACGCCAACGATTATTATTTTAAAAAATAATCATCTTTTGCCTTCCACAAAATCTCCTGTCCTTAAGCATAAGTTTTACTATGGAATAGATGGCTGAAATATTACTTTTTACCTTCTCAACTTGGAGAATACCCCATCAATGGGTCCAATTTATAAAACCCACCAGGCTATTCTGCCCCATCTGGCTATTGTTTGGCATTTCACGTCCTCACTTTATGTCCCATTTGCTTTTAAATGTCTCTAAGGGTTTCAGTGGCGTTTTTGGAACAAATCGTACTTTTGATTTAAAAAAAATCACCCTAGGGCCACGATTTGTAAAGGGTTTTATTTTAGATTACCTCCTCCGCTATAATAATTATATTTTTTAAATATTCCCATAACACACTTTTTTTAATTATTTTTTTCTTTTTTACCAAAAATATTAGGTTCAGTGGCGTTTTTCGAAACGATAGTACTTTTGATTTAGAAAATAAATTATCTTTGGGTCCCAATTTGTAAAAGTTCTAATATAATTTACCTCTTTTGCTATAATAATTATATTTTTCTAATATTCCCATAAACCCCTTTTTGAGAATTTCTTTCATTTCATTTTTTACCAAAAATATACATATTTACTACCCTCCACCCTTTGTTTCCATGTTTCTTACAAGTGTTACATTTGCCTGGTATTTTACACCGCCTTGCGAGCTTTGCAAAAAAAAGAGACACCAGGATTCCTTTACTATTCAAAAAAGTGCGAAAGAAAACAGGAAACCGGAAAAGGCAAAACCCTCGAAAACATTCCAGCAACAGCGACTCGAACACAATGCCAAACACGTTTAGATCCTTGGGCGAAATATGTGTGCCACCATTTTTTTTTTCTTCGTTGGATATCTCTATGGCTGCGGGCGCCGGCAGGAGGTTGTGGGGTCTGGATGTAAGGAGACTATAAATTTACTTGATTTAATGGCATTTTATGCATTGAAACGTAAGTGTATGTGTGGGTGTGTGTGTGATAGGGGAGTGAAAAATTTAATTTCTATTTAAAAAAAAAAACAAACTTCAAGTGGAACATCATTTTGCCCTCTAATTTCCCCTTTTTACCTGTTCCGACACGCTTCATGTGTAATACATATATTTATAATTTATGTAATTGGTGCTGTAATGCCAAATTACTTTTGTCTTATTTAGTTGGAGTTACTTACTAATGAGAGGAGAGCTTGAGAGGATGTATGTAGAGTTCTCGAAATGGGGGAGGGGGTGGTTTTGGAATTTCACTGTTTCACTGCTTTAAGAATGCAAAAGATAAAATTTAATACAAAGGGAAGATAGATATGTATTTTACTCAATATACGCCTAAAAGTATGCACCACTTTATGTGCTACGGCCACAATTAGAGGCATATTTCGATTTTGGGTTTTATTAATCACCCATCAATCATTTAAAGGTTGATAATCCATCAATTGCCTAATATTGTTCATAAATTTCCCTCGTTTTAGCCGGTCTGCCAATATTTCGAACTTTTAAATCCCCGTGGCAAATTCAAAATGAATCTATGGCACAAAATTTTCATTTTCCATTTCCCATTCATCATCGCGGGAGTAATGAAAAAAAACTGTCATTGTAACAACAATTGCAATATTTGACAAATATTTGCCAATCATTTCGAATAATGGTGCCCTTTACAAATCGCCTTTTTTCGGAGGGGGAGCGAAAAACAAAACACAAGCGTTTAAAATAGGGCAACAATACCGGTGGAGGAAATCAAACGTTTAGCTATTGCTTCGGAAAAAAGGCAGCCACAAAAATTTAAATGGAACCAGTGGCTTTGTTAATAATTCTCATCAATTCTCTAAAGGCCAGTGCGGCTTATGAAATTCCATTGTCTTCGGAAAATAATCAAAAAAATATTGATTTCATCTCCAATTACACCGAATTCCTCTACGAGAGACACAATTTCGACACGTTTTTAATATTTTGTGACAACTGCTCCCATTCCTCGGAATCGGCAATTGGTGAAACAAATTTACCACAATATCTTATGAGAGATCTCCAAATACCCCTCATCATATGGGGCATGGAACGCAGAGTTCGTTTCAAACATCAGTTGGGTTTGAATAATTTGGTTTTTATCTATATTCGCCAGCTAAGGGACCCCCTACTGAGGGTGGCCAGTGAAACGTTGACAGATTTACATTTCACCGCCATGATGGTGATTTTGAAAACAGAGACCATACCCGATTCTCGTGCAATAAAGGATTTCTTTGAAAATTGTTGGGCCTTCAATATTATCAATGTGGTATTGATAATATTCCATGGCAAGGAGACCATTGAGGATTTAAAGATTTTTCGTTATTCACCTTTCCCCTGGCTGGCATTTGAAGAAGTAGAGGAGGTGGTATTTGATGAGAGAATGAATTTTATATTGGAATATATCAACGATACGAGGGGCTATGTCTTTGATACACCCATTTTTATGAATCCGCCGAGTGTGTTTTTGGTAAGTTTTTTTCATTATAAGGGATTTTGAGGCGTATTAGAGATATTAATTAAAGACTGTAGGGGTCGTATGAGTCATATTAAAAATAATAATCATACTTTTATTCATTATTGAGGACATTGGATCGTATGAGTAATATTTATTTAAGACTGTGGGGTCCTATGGGTCATATAACCTTATAGAGAACATTGGATCGTATGAGTAATGTTAATTTAAGACTTGGGAAGGAGGTCGTATGAGTCATATTAACAATAATAATCATACGTTTCGAAAGCTACTTTGAAGGTGAATTATATTAGATCCATAAAACATTGTGAGCCGTAAATGATGTTATTTCTTTAAATCAAAAGTAGGAAATTTTCGGAAAACCCGACTGAAATCCTCGGAGATATCTAAAAACGAATGGAATATAATGTGAGCCCGTGAAATGCCAAACTACAGCCAAGTGGGGCAGATTAGCTTGATAGGTTTTACAAATTGGACGCATTGATGGGGTATTCTCCCAGTTGAGAAGGTTAAATTCATATTACAGCCATTCATTCCACAGTAAAACTTATTCCTAAGGATGGGAGATTTTATGGAAGGAAAAAGAACAAAGATGTATTATCTAAATGGGGGGCAAGAAATTCCGATATTCCCAACGTCCAGAAATTTCCCCTAAGTTTGACTATGAAATTGATGGCTGTTATATGAATGTGACCTTTTCAATTGGGAGAATAATAGATTGATTTTTAGTAGATGTTGAAAAAATATATAAACACTAGCAAGTGCCCGCTACTTCGTCAACGAAAAGCCCACCTTAAAATTTTGAATTCGTTCCGATAGTTCGTGCTGGGTCTTTTTATTACTCAAAATTCACAATTTGCGAAATTCTACAATTTTTTTTATTTATTTATTCATTTATTTTTTTTTTTTTTTGAATCAAAACTTCCTAACTAAATTTTCAGTTTTTATGCACTATTCCAGTTTTTTCACTTTCGGAAAGAATATTTGGAAAATCTTTTACTTTCTTTTCGAAAAGTCTTCAAATTAATTTTTAAAGGTTTCCGAGGGGGATATTAGTAAACCATTGCACAATGGACGTACATCCAATTTATTTGGCCAAGCTCTAAAAATCATACCATATGTAAGCTCTAGAAATCAACAGTAGCTTACTGATTAAATTTCAGAATTTCAGCTCTAACCCTTCATCGCACACCAATTTTAGAAAATTTGTAAAACCACCTCAGGATCTCAACACCAGATACTAACAGAGACCTCAATACCAAATTTTGGGATTTCAGCTCTTTTGCTTCAATGCCCAATTTAGTACTTTTTAAACAATTATAGTACACATTTCAAATCCACCTTTATATCTACACCATCATCAAATTTCAAGATTTTAGTTCTTTAATTTCCCTCAAAATGTAGTACTGTTTTATACCCTCCGTACATTTCCAAAACCATCTCCAGATACCAACAGAAACCTCAATATCAAAATTCTGGAATCCTGCTCTATCCATTCACTCAACAGTTCAAATTTAGTACGTTTTGTACAATTATAGTATGCAGTTCCAAAATCACCTCCAGATCACCATTCCAGATTCAAACACAGACCTCAATATCAAATGTCGGGATTCCAGCCCTATCTTCTCACCAAATTTAGTACTTTTCGTATAAATATAGAAATAACAGACCCAACAGAATTTCAGGATTTCTGCTCTATCTTGACAACCAATAATCAATTTAGTATTATTCAGTGCCATTTAGTACTTTTCGTACAATTATAGTACACAGCTCCAAAACCACCTCCAGATCTCTATTTCAGAGGTTCAAGTCCATCCCTTCATCCAATACAAAATTTAGTACCATTTAGTACTTTTCGTACAATTATAGTACACAGTTCCAAAACCACCTCTAAATCTCTATTTCAGATACAAACACAGACCTCAGTATCAAATTTCGGGATTCCAGCCCTATCCCTTCACCCAATAGTAAATTTAGAACCATTTTGTACTTTTCGTACAGTTTCCAAAACCACCTCCATATCTCAATTATAGATACCATCAGACACCTTAATATCAAATTTGACGACGCCAGTCCTATCCCTTCACCCAATAACAAATTTAGTACCATTTAGTACTTTTCGTACAATTATAATACACATTCCCAAAACCACCTCCATATCTTAATATACAGACCCCAACAGTGACATCTGTATCAAATTCCAGGATTTCAGCTATATCCTGACAACCAATACCAAATTTAGTACTATTTAACACCATTTAGTGCTTATCGTACAATTATGGTACAAATTTACAAAACCACCACCCTATAACAATTCCAGATACCAACAGAGACCTTAATATCAAATTTAAGGACTCCAGTCCTATCCCTTCACACAATACCAAATTTCGTACCATTTGGTACTTTTCGAACAATTTTAGCATACATTTGTGAAATCACCTCCATATGTACAGGCTACACATTGACAGCGTCACCAAAATAACGAATTGTACCAAATTTAGTCCAATTTAGTATTATTCGTACAATTATAGTACATTTTTCCAAAACATTATCTACTCAATCCTAGATACTAATAGAGACCTGAATAAAACATTTTGGGATTACAGATCCATGCCTTCTCCCAATACCAATTTAGTACCATTATTACTTTTCCAGCTATTATAGTACACATTTCCAAAACCACCTCCATATATCCAGGCTACATATAAAAAGCGACCCTTATACTATATTCCAGATTTCAATCACTACCTGTTCACCCAAAACCAAACTGTACCAAATATAGTACTATTTAGTACTTTTCGAACAATTATAGTACACATTTCCAAAACAACCTCCACATCTTAATTCTAGATACCCACAGAGACCTCAATATCTAATTTCCGAAATTCAAATCTATTCTTCACCCAATATCAAATATAGTACCATTCAGTAATTTTCGTACAATTATAGTACACATTTCCGAAAACACCTCCATATATCCAGTCTACACATAAACAGCGATCCTAATACCAAATTTCAGATTTCAATCACTGCCTGTTCACCCTATACCAAATTGTACCAAATATAGTACTATTTAGTACTTTTCGAACAATTATAGTACACATTTCCAAAACCTTCTCCATACATTACTTCCAGACAACAACAAAGATCTCAATATCAATTTTGAGTATTTCAGCGCTATCCCTTCACCCAATATTAAATTTAGTACCATTTTGTACTTTTCGTACAATTCTAGGACGCATTTCCAAAAACACCTCCATTTGTCCAGGCTACACATAAAAAGCGATTCTTATACAAAATTTCAAACTACGAGCACTATCTGTTTACAGAAATAGCTAATTGTACCAAATATAGTACTATTTAGTGCTTTTCGTGCACATGTTGTACAAATTTCCAAAACCACCTCTTTATCGCGAACCTATCTCCAACAGGGACCCCAATATACAATTTCAAAATTCCAGCTCCATCGGTTCACCTTTAACCTCACTATTCCAAATTTAGTACCATTTGGTACAGTTCGCACGCTTAGTACACATTTTCAAAACAACCTTCATACGTATCAAACTTACTTTCCAACCTTGATTCTCATACCAAATTTTAAGTTTTTAAGGAGTTTGAACGGATAGAGGTTCACATAATATAAAATGGTACCATTTTAGAAGTTTAGTACCATTTTACGTAACCTGAAAGTTCGAATTTGCAAAAACCCTCTGGACTCCATCAGCGACTCTTATTCTATATTCTAGCTCATTTCATTTGTAGTACATTTTAGTACTTTCCGTATCCTTATAGTACGAGCTTCCAAAAACCCGGCCTTATCCCACGCCAACGTACCAAGACTGACCCACGTCCAAAATTTCAAGATTCTAGCTTCAGCTGTATCGTCTGGGCGTTGATTTTAGCTCAGTCAGTTATTTCACCACTCTTTTGTATAGATAGATTGACAATTTTGGGCCCAGGCCTACCCAAGGCCATCTTCAAGACCAAACTTCATTTTCTTCCAATAGATAATTCAGAGCATAAGAGAAGATGAAAGTCATAGAAAACCTATATTCCATCTTCCCAAAGTAAGAATCTTTTCATAAAAAGAGGTCTTCTTTTCAAAGGAGAGCTTTTTCAAACCCTAAAGCGTTTCTTCAAAGGAGATCAAGAGGCCACCCTAGTTTATTTTTTCACAGGACAGCCCAAATAGAAACCCCTTAATATATCCCATATCCAATTCTGCCCATAATTATCTTCAAATTTAATTCTTTCAGACCCCCTATGAGCAACATCACAACAACATCAGCTATCCCTACATCACTGGTACGGCAGGGAGAATATTCCACGAATTCACCCATTATGTGAATGGGACCATCAACGTTGTCCTCAACTGCAACGTCAGCTTTTATTCATATCACAAGGAAACTCTGCTACTGGCCGCCCTAAAAGTCATCGACATTGGTGTGCATCCATATTCCGGCCTGCTACCTTATGCCAATGAGACCTCGGGTAGTTATCCTATTGGGTACACAAATGCCTGCATCATTGTGCCGGTTATCCCTGAAATTCATCCAAGCGATTATATTTATCGGTCTCTGCAGCCAACTATTTTGGGAATTCTATTCCTAGAGTTGTTGAGTCTCTTTCTGGTGGAGCTGCTACGTCTAAGGACCTTTGATTTCGGTGAGGGGGTGATATATGCCTTTGGCACGTTACTATTTCAGGCCATGGAGCCACAGCGTTTTCAACAACGTAAAGTATTGCTAAGGGTCCTCCATCTCCTCGTTGTCACCGTGAATGTTTTGGTGGAGAGCACATTTTGTGCCTCCCTCACCTCGCTGCTCAGCACCACGGTGTACGGAGATCAAATTGACACCCCAGAGGATCTTCTACGTTCCGGCCTGCAGATAATGGTAAATCGCTATGAAAAGGAAATCTATTTTGACAGTGAACTGCTTCCGGCGGTGCTACGGCCCAGACTTTTCCAGGTCAATGCCACATTTTCGTCGTGGAATAAAAATAAACTCAACACCAACTATGCCTATGTGGCCACCTCGATGGAATGGCGAAAACTGAACCTACAACAGCAGCTGTTGTGGAAACCCAAATTCCGGCTGGCCTCAGCTGGTGACATGTGTACGGCCAGCTACTTCTTGAGATTCCCCATGCAATGGGACTCCCCCTTTCACAGTGCCCTCATTAAATTCTTTTTTGTCATCCAGGAAAGTGGCCTGCTCAAGGTGTGGGAAGATCGCAGCATATATCATGCCATTTCCCTAAATCTACTCTACTACATGGACAATGACAAGATTCCTGGGCAATATTTCGATTGGACCTATTTGCAGAAGCCGCTGCTCATCTACGGCCTTATGATGTTGGGCGCCATTGTGTGTTTCCTGGTGGAGTTATGGTTGTATCAAAGAAGAAACTAAAAACATGGAGTTAAGGGAGAACGGGATGGAAATGACGATGCCGAATGAGACCATCCACATCCGTTGAGATTTATATTCTCCCGGGTGTAGAGAAATGTAATTTAAGTTCCATTCTTGTGTGCAATAAATGAAATTTAATTTATCATTTCAAATGTTTATTTAATACTTCAGAGAGATTTTTGGAGAATTGCAAGTTTGCTGGCAATGTGTATGGGCATCATTGTGTATATGTGTGCAACCGTGTGTGTGTGTGTGTGTGGTTGTGCTGAGTGTTAAGATTTTCTTGATTGTTCATTTGGTGTCTTGGACAAGAGGCAAACATGAAAGCAAAGCAAATGAAAAATAAGACTTTGAAAAGGATTTCATTGCAAACGAAACGAGGGAGGGGAGGGAAGTTTGGGGATTTCCAAATTCAAGAAGATTTCCATAGGAAAAATGATGGAGAACTTGGTTGTCCATAGGAAACTTGGTGGAGACTTACGATGCCTATAGAAAATTTGGCGAAGACTTAGGATTCCTATTGAAAACTTGGTGGAGACTGAGGATTTTTTTAGAAAACATGGTGGAGACATATGATTTCAATAAAAAAAATAAAATAAAATTTGGTGGAGTCTAAGGTTTTCTATAAAAAAGTTGGAGACCTCAGTTTTCTATAGAACCTCGGTTTTCTCAGACCTCGGTTTTCTATAGAAAACTTAGTGGAGATCTGAGGTTTCTAAAGAAAACTTAGTGGAGACCTGAGGTTTCTATGGAAAATTTAGTGGAGACCTCGGTTTTCTATTGAAAACTTGGCGGAGACCTCGGTTTTTGGTGGTGACCTCGGTTTTCTATAGAAAACTAAGTGGAGACCCCGGTTTTCCATAGAAAACTTTGTGGAAACCTAGGTTTTCTATTGAAAACTTGGTGGAGAACTCGATTTTCTATAGAAAACTTGGTGGAGACCTCGGTTTTCTATAGAAAACTTGGTGGAGACCTCGGTTTTCTATAGAAAACTTGGTGGAGACCTCGGCTTTCTATAGAAAACTTGGTGGAGACCTCGGTTTTGTAAAGAAAATCAAGTGGAGACCTCGGTTTTCTATAGAAAACTAAGTGGAGACCTCGGTTTTCTATAGAAAACTTGATGGAGACATCCGTTTTCTATAGAAAACTTGATAGAGACATCCGTTTTCTATAGAAAACTTGATGGAGACATCCGTTTTCTATAGAAAACTAAGTGGAGACCTCGGTTTTCTATACAAAACTTGGTGGAGACCTCAGTCTTATATAGAAAACTTAGTGGAGACCCCAGTTCTATATAGAAAGCTTGGTGGAGACTTCGGTTTTTTTATAGAAAATTTGGTGAAGTCCTCGGTTTTCTATATAAAACTTCTTGGAGACCTTTGTTCTCTATGTAAAACTTCGCGGAGACTTTTGTTTTCCCTAGAAAACTTAGTGGACACCCTTGTTTTCTGTAGAAAACTTGTTGGTTTGGTTTTGTTTTCCATAGAAAACTTGGTGGAGACCTTTGTATTCTTGGTGCAGACCTTGGTATTCTGTTTTCTATAGAAAACTTGGTGGAGACCTCGGTTTTCTAAAGAAAATCAAGTGGAGACCTCGGTTTTCTATAGAAAACTTGGTGGAGACCTCGGGTTTCTATAGAAAACTTGGTGGAGACCTCAGTTTTCTATAGAAAACTTGATGGAGACATCGGTTTTCTATAGAAAACTTGGCGGAGACCTCGGTTTTCTATAGAAAACTTGGTGAAGACCTCGGTTTTCTATAGAAAATTTCGTGGAGACCTCGGTTTTCTATAGAAAACTTGATGGAGACCTCCGTTTTCTATAGAAAACTTAGTGGAGACCTCGGTTTTCTATAGAAAACTTAGTGGAGACCTCGGTTTTCTATAGAAAACTTAGTGGAGACCTCCGTTTTCTATAGAAAACTTATTGGAGACCTCCGTTTTCTTTAGAAAACTTAGTGGAGACCTCCGTTTTCTATAGAAAACTTGGTGGAGACAATTCTTTTCTATAGAAAACTTGGTGGAGACCTCGATTATCTATAGAAATTTTCGTAAATACCTCGGTTTTCTCTAGAAATTTTCGTGGAGACCTCGATTTTCTATAGAAAACTTGGTGGAGACCTCGGTTTTCTATAAAAAAAAAAAAAAAAAAACTTAATGGAGACCTCCGTTTTCTATAGAAAGCTTAGTGTAGACCTTTGTTTTTTATAGATAACTTCGTAGAAACCCTTGATTTTTATAGAAAACTTGTTGGAGACTTTTGTTTTCCATAGATAACTTCGTGGAGACCTCGGTTTTCTGTAGAAAATTTGGCGGAGATTACGTTTTCCTATAGAAAACTGTGTTTCTACAATTATTTCCCCCATCCGCCTATTGTTTATGACTTGCATCCATGTCCAAGTGCTTCTGTACATTTTTACCCAAAATATTGGATTCTTAAGCCAACATCTCACTTGTCACATTAAGAATTCATAAAAGATATTCCAGTTCGTGCAACAAAAATCCAAAAGATGCTACCAATACCATTTCCACTTGGTCCAATCATCCACAAATGCACAGGTAAGTACATATCTTACCCGGCGCAGGCATATGCCGTTACATTAAGGGCACACACATTCACACATGTATTCACATATACACACACATACACAAGTAAAGAATTGCCAGTCTATTTTTGTGTCCTTCATTTTCACGTTTGAATCCAGAATGAAGTAGCAAATGATGCTGCATCTTTTCGGCCTGCCAAAGTAGCTACCTGGGAGTGAGGATACCTCTCAGTGAGGCCACTAAAATTAAGGACGAAAAGGCTTAGATTCTCTATGTCGTGAATGGCTGCTGATGAAGTTACTGTTGCAGCCACATACCATTTGCAGCTGGACTGACTGGTGGTGGTATTCAAGTGGAAAATGGCAACATTTGGTAACAAATTGTAGCCATTTTCCAAACGAATGCCTAAACACAATTCTATGATGGCCGCAATTATGTGTGCCTCGGCGAAGAAGGCAAAGGTATAGTAGGCTGAAGATTCAGTGTAAGAAAATGGCAGAGGAAGGTGGTGTTTGGTATGTATGCTTAATAGCTGTGGCTTTTATTGTACATACTCCATCAAGGATTGAAAGGGATCTCAGTGGGACCATGGCATTTTCAATATTTTCTTATATCTTCAGTATACCAAGGAATCAAGGAACTAAGGATCAAATCTATGAAATTCATATCCTTGAAAAAATGTAAGCAGATTCTTGGAATTATGTCAGATAATATTTCCATTCTTAGCTAAAATCAATTTTTTTGGCTTCGAAGTTAGAACCACAGTACTCTCCATAGATCTACATACTTCAATGATAGTTCTCTTTCGTTTAACCTTTTAAATTCAAACGACATCAACCTAATTTAAAAATTAAATTTATTAACAGCATTTGGCAGCCAATTGCATTACTACTGACCTCTGTTCCGAATTGCAGCTGCTGCAGCTGAAACTCCAATGGCTTCATCTTGTTCCACTAAATGCACTTGTGGCAAATTACCATTTAAACTACAACAACAACAACTACAACAATTAATTAAATTACTAACATCCCATTAAGTACTTAAGGGACACATAAACATGCAACAAATAGCTGCTGCAACAACTGCTGTTGCTGATGCAGTTGTTGTTGTTGTTGTAGAACAAAAACATGTTGGGTGGCAAACACGCACCCATACATGCACATCTTCCATTTCACTCATTTCAGACAGTGGTGCTGCATCCATTCAAACCAATTTCAGAAGTTTTAACATAATAAGGACGACAACAAAACCAACAACAACATCTACATAACACTAGTAATTGTTACAAGTGGTTGTGGCAGCAACAACAACACCAACAATATTACAAATATTACATTACAGTAACATAATTAATGAAAAATTATGCAGGATGCGGATTAAGGAAAATTATTTAATGGTTATATGGGGATATGAGGGTGGGGCGGGTTAAAAAAAAGGTCTCCACGAAGTTTTCCATAAAAATCGAGGTCTCAACGAAGTTTTGTATAGAAAACCGAAGTCTCCACTTAGTTTTCTATAGAAAACCGAAGTCTCCACCAAGTTTTCTATAGAAAACCGAAGTCTCCACTTAGTTTGCTATAGAAAACCGATGTCTCCATCAAGTTTTCTATAGAAAACCGAAGTCTCCACTTAGTTTTCTATAGAAAACCGAGGTCTCCACCAAGTTTTCTATAGAAAACCGAGTTCTCCACCAAGTTTTCTATAGAAAACCGAGGTCTCCACCAAGTTTTCTGTAGAAAACCGAGGTCTCCACCAAGTTTTCTATAGAAAACCAAGGTCTCCACCAAGTTTTTCTATAGAAAACAGAGGTCTCCACCAAGTTTTCTATAGAAAACCGAGGTCTCCACCAAGTTTTCTATAGAAAACCGAGGTCTCCACCAAGTTTTCTACAAAAAACCGAAGTCTCCATCAAGTTTTCTTTAGAAAACCGAGTTCTCCACCAAGTTTTCTATAGAATACCGAGGTCTCCACCAAGTTTTCTATAGAAAACCGAGGTCTCCACCAAGTTTTCTATAGAAAACCGAGGTCTCCACCAAGTTTTCTATAGAAAACCGAGGTCTCCACTAAGTTTTCTATAGAAAACTGAGGTCTCCACCAAGTTTTCTATAGAAACCCAGCGTCTCTACCAAGTTTTCGATAGAAAACTGAGGTCTCCACCAAGTTATGTGTAGAAAACCGAGGTCTCCACCAAGTTTTCTATAGAAATCGAGGAATCCGCACAGTTTTCTATATGTCTCCACTAAGTTCTCTATAGAAAACCGAGGTCTCCACCAAGTTTACTATAGAAAACCGAGGTCTCCACCAAGTTTTCTATAGAAAACCGAGGTCTCCACCAAGTTTTCTATAGAAAACCGAGGTCTCCACCAAGTTTTCTATAGAAAACCGAGGTCTCCACCAAGTTTTCTATAGAAAACCGAGGTCTCCACCAAGTTTTCTATAGAAAACTGAGGTCTCC